TCAAATGTCACTTGGAGGAGACAGACCGAGGCGACTTTGAAATCAATTTTGATTAATTTCTTCTCACCGCCGTCTTACTTCTATCTCAATTTTACCTTCGAAGAGAAGCCGAGATAACCGAGATCCACGATGACGGGAACGCCCGTTTATTCACCCGCGCGCGCCTCGTCCCGATCATTCCGTTTTTGTCATTGTAACCGCGACAGCCGATTAACATTTAAATTCGATAGAAATTATCACGTCCGTCAAAAACGTGGCGTGGCGGGCGTGTCGGGGCCCCCGAGGACCCGTGAAACCGTGACACGCGTGAGACGCCGTTCTTGGGAGAGCGAGAAAGAGAGAGAGAGAGAGAGAGAGAGAGAGAGAGAGAAACGGGGCCTCTCTCTCTCGTCGAAACATACATCTCGGGATATCGAGAGGCCTCAAGAGCAACGGCGGAGAGTACAGGCTCGTAAATCATCCGGATCTCCTTCGGTCGAGTTTCTTCTCTCCCTCTCCATCCTCCCCCTCCCCCGCCCCTCTTGCCCGCGCACGAAACTTTGCCGTGTCTGTAATTGGTTGCGAACTAAGCTCGATTCGTTTGGCTGTCAGTGAATGAGATTCGTCGATTATTGATTTCCCGGCAATTAAAATTCGCCGACGATTTTGTAACGAGAGGAGAGCCGGCGAGATTAATAACGATTAATCCGCGGATATGACGCGGATGTAAGAGAACAAACAAAACGCGGCGCGATCGATTTTACACAGACGCGGAGAGTATTAAATCGATTGATACGATTGATGTGATTCGATGACGATTATCGATGGTGTTGCTGCACCTGGTTATCCCGGCGATCCGAAATTGCCCTGCGCCATTTTTCTTCCGGAAGTGTACCGGAGGAGTTTCTTCTCGCCAACTCGAGAAAGTGAATCGGCAGAGAATAATTAGCAGCGAAATGGACGGTGGAACGATTTATAAAAGGGAGAAAAAATTATCCTTCAATTTGCCGGTGTCTTCTTGTTTTTTATAACTGCGATGTCGTTTTTGAAGAATTTTGCATCAGGAAGAAAGTGAGTTTTAATATATCGTTTACGATATACTAGCTAAACGATATGTACATTTATTATAATTAATTTAGGGCCTAATCCACTTTAGAGAGCCCAAAAAAATTAATTTTTTTACATTTTGAAAGTAAAATATCTGAAGAATGTATTTTCCATATTATATTAAAAAATTCACAAAATTGACAAACTTATAAGACTTTGAATAGGATGGAGCGTAGGTTTTCAAATGGATTTGTAAAACTTTAAATGAATGTTTTTTCTAAAAATTCTGTTTTCAAAGTTGGTGTGACGGATATCTTGAAAACTGGACCGAATAACTTCAATTTTTTTTTTAATTGAAGAGAACAATTTTTTGGGATATTAAATCTAAACAGAATTAAAAAAAAAAAATAATTAATAAATTTCTGACTTTTAAGAAATGAATAAATTTCAGCAAAATTGAAATATTTAATTTCAAAATTACACTATTTTGTTATTTTTTAATTTTCTCTAATAAAATTATGCTCAGTATCCTATGTGTGTTTTTCTAAAAACTCTGTTTTCATAGTTGGTGTAACGGATGTTTTGAAAACTGGACCGAATAACTTCAACTTCTTTTTAATGGAAGAGAACACTTTTAGGGGATACTGAATCTAAACAAAATTTAAAAAAAAATAATAATTAATAAATTTTTGACTTATAAGAAATGAATAAATTTCAGCAAAATTGAAATATTTAATTTAAAAATTACATTATTTTGTTATTTTTTAATTTTCTCTAATAAAATTAGGCTCTTGTCAGTATCTCATAAATATCCTGCAGAATAAAACTAGACCGAGACCTTATTCTGCAGTTTCTGACAATTACACGAAGAGCAGCATGTCACTTTCAAACATGTTGTGCTCGTGTTGACCAAAAAAAGCTAAATATCCAAGATTTAAAAATACTGACGTATTATTTAAACATCAATAAAAACATATGTAAAACGTCAAAAAGATCAATTTCTCATATTCTTCAAAAAAAATTCCTAAAAGTTATCGATCTTTTATACTGCTCGAGTAGACTGGACTTTTAAATTCTGGTTACCTCTTTCTCACGGCAATTTAATCTTGAAGTAAGATTGTTAAAATGTAATTTATAAAACGTAATTAATAATGTAAAACGTATAAACGTAATTTATAAATGTAATTAATAATGTAGCGGTCACTCTACTTTGCAACATCTTATACGTGCTATAAATCTGCGCTCTCTCTCTCTCTCTCTCTCTCTATCTATCTCTCTCTCTCTCTATAAAGAGAAAAAAAAGTAATAGAAGGAGAGGAAAAGATCAAATGCCGTCTTAAATTACAACTAAATAATCGGTATGCATTATGCGCGCGTGATTCATACAGTTACGCGCGTTTAAACACGCGCGAGAAGGTTAACGCTCTATATCCGGCTTTTTATCGCTCGATTCGATGTAATTTTTACAACCGTCTCCGAGACTCGGTCTATGGTTAAGTCCTTTTTCCACAGTCGTTGCCGCCGCGCAAACGGGTCCTGTCTCAACCGGGACACCGCACCGCACCGGTATAAACCGATCGCGATCGATTGCTCCTTTCGAGAAAACCTGCAACGCCCGCGTACGTGCGTTTATGCCAAGGAGAGAATGAGCGAGATAAGCGTCGACAAGCCGCGATGCAATTACCGATACCGCGCGTCGATGGTTTTTGCAACGAGCCCGATCATAATCGCACGACTTATCGATCCTTTCCTCCCCCTTACATAGAATTAGATCGTCAGCGCAACGCTTGGCTAACGCATGACCGGCTAAAGAATATGTGCGTTATATTACATATATATTTTTTCTTCTGGTTCTATTTATCCTTCCCATTTTCTTCTTTATTTTAATTGTTGCAATTTTTGTTACTATGACCATTTTCTCGATAAATCGAATAATGATTATACGCTATTGTACTCTCTCTCTCTCTCCCTAAAAAATTTTTTTCTCGTTTAAATAAATAAGTAAAT